GGTGAGATTGGTTTTACGCCACAATCGCTCCAGCGCATGACTATGTAGTTTAAGATTTCTGGTGTCGTCAGTCTGCCAAGGTTGTAATGGTTGGGGCCTGATGCTTCGTGTAGTTAGAGGAGCAAGTGAGTCTAGTGTGGATGAAAGCAAACTGTTGTAGACAGTAGTGGCCAGGTGAAGACAGGAGAGGGGGAGAGAGTCATAGAGTTGGTCAATTGCAGAGTGGAAAGGAGCAGGGTTCAAGTTGGGAAGGTTTCTGCAGGTAATTGTTTGCCTCTTGGAGGGATAAGTGTTTGAAGATGAGGACACTGTGAAGGTGTGTGAAGGTGATGAGATTGTGATCAGAGAGAGGAAAGGGGGTGTTTGTGAGGTTGTAGGGAGTGCAAAGATGAGAGAAAACAAGGTCTAATGTATTCCCATCAGAGTGAGTGGAGGATTGTATCATTGTCCCTTGGTCCAGCGGTGTCCTCACCACGGCTGGGTTCACTGGCCATCTTCTCTCCCTAGCGCTGGCATCTTCAGTGTGGGCACCCAGCTGTGGCAGCTTGCGGCTTCACAGCCGGGTGCCCACTGCTCATGTGCAAGAAGCGCTGCTCTTTGTGAATGGCTCTGTAGTCTTCTGGGATCTGTCACGTGTCCCCCAGAAGACTACGGGGAGGGAGGGGAGGACAACTTCTGCTTCTGATCGCTTAGGCCAAGGGTAGGCAACCTGCGGCTCTCTAGCTGTTGTGGAACTACATTTCCCATGAGACATTGCAAAATTGACAGCTACAGCTATGACTTGCAGAGGCATAATGGAACTTGTAGCCCTGCAACAGTTGGAGAGCCACAGGTTGCCTACCCCTGGCCTAGGCGATCGCAGCGGAAGTGGGAGCGGGTATTTGTTAAATTCGGGTACCCTGCTCCCCCCCTGCTCCCCAAAGGTGCCAATCCTTAATGGGTAGTGGGGGGGGACAAAGTATTAAAGCGGAACTTCCCCTTTTGGGTGGAGCTCCGCTTTAAGGATTTCAGACAGCCTCAAAAAAAGAGTTGTTGAAGCTCCTAAGATGAGAAATGTACACAGTGCTATAGCTGGGAAAAAAACTACCATATAACACCAAAACCTGCTTCCATTTATGAAGTATAGTGGATGAAAAATGGTGTGGGGCTGCTTTCCTGAACAGCATGCAATCACTAAAGCACAAATAAATTCAAAACTGAATCATTAAATTCTACAGCCGGAGCATACATGCATGATCTGCATTGTCAAATAAGTTGGCTCTCACAGCATGACACAGCTATTCAAAAAAACAGTCAACAACAAACAGTCTCAAAATAAGAAATCAGTCAAGTCACTATTCTAACCTAATTCCTATTGAAATGCTTTCAGAATCTGAATTAGTCCATTAAAACAATTTTTATTGCAGCCTAACTTCTGCTGATGTCTGATCGGCAACTAAACAAAGATGATGGCTGAGGTTATTGCCAATAAATCAAAGATGAACCTTCTTTTTCACTGGTGACATTGATCATTTAAAACGTTTATTCAAAATATGTACAAAATTCATAGAATATTGTGCATTTTGTTTCTTAATTGACTGTCTTTATTTTAAATGATAGATACAAATTCAGATCATACTTTGGATGTCATTTATACAGATACTTTTCTCTTAAAATATTCACACACAACCCCCCCCCCCCCCCCCAAATCCCTCTCTCTTTCTTTCCTTTTTTCTCTCTCCCCTTCTCTTTCTATTGTATAGGTATACACAGACTAAAAGAGTGTTAGTTGATTGCAGAAAAAATTAAAAGCAGACAGCTGAACTGAGGAGTCTGGTTGAGGCAGAAACACTGAAATACAGTAAAGATTTGTGAATGTAAGGGTCATATTCAGCGTCACCTACAAAACTACCACTTCCCCCTCCCTCCCCCTCTCTGTCGGGGTCCCCCAAGGCTCTGTCCTCGGGCCCCTCCTCTTCTCCATCTATACCTCCTCCCTTGGCAAACTTATTCACTCCCATGGTTCCAATTACCACCTCTATGCCGACGACACCCAAATTTACCTCTCCACCCCCCACCTCACCCCCTCACTCTCTGCCCACATCGCCCACCTCCTAAACGACATATCAGACTGGATGTCACTCCACTTCCTCAAACGTAACCTATCCAAAACTGAGCTCCTGGTCTTCCCCCCCCATCCTCTCCATCACTACTAACAACGCCTCCATCTCTCCCACCCCACACGCCAAAGTCCTGGGTGTCACCCTGGACTCCCACCTCTACTTCCTACCCCACATCCAACTGCTATCTAGATCTTGCAGGCTCCACCTCCACAACATCTCCAAGATACGCACATTCCTCACCCCAGACACTACCAAACCACTCGTACACTCCCTCATCATCTCACTCCTGGACTATTGCAATTCCCTTCTCACTGGCCTACCCAAACGAATGCTATCCCCACTCCAGTCGATCCTAAACTCAGCAGCTAGACTCATCCACCTCACCAAGCGCTCCACATCTGCCTCCCCCCTCTGCCAATCCCTTCACTGGCTCACGATTGCCCAACGCATCAAATTCAAACTGCTAACCCTGATCTACAAGGCCATTCCCAACGCCGCCCCAAACTACATAACTGACCTGATACCCAAATACTACCCTACCCATGCCCTCCACTCCTCTCAGGACCTCCTACTCTCTAGCTCCCTGGTCTCCTCCTCCTACGCCCGATTGCAGGACTTCTCTAGGACTTCCCCCATCCTCTGGAACTCCCTACCCCAATCCATCAGACTGTCACCCACCCTCCTCACCTTCAGGCGCACCATGAAAACCCTCCTCTTCAGGGAAGCCTACCCCAACCTCACCTAACACCTGACCTCACCTAACAACCTCCTCCACTCCTCCCACCACTCCATCCCCCACAGCCATCTCCTCCTGTATCACCTTCCCCTCCCTTCTAGATTGTAAGCTCGAAAGAGCAGGGCCCTCGAACCCCTCGTGTACTGTTTTGTTACTGTCTTGTCTCATGTTCTCTCCCCCTTGCTACTGTACAGCGCTGAGCATACCCTTTGGCGCTATATAAATACTGTATAATAATAATAATAATAATATTTCAGAAGTCCCCATTGTAAAGGAAATATGTACAATTTGTATAAAATTGTATTCTATTTTGTATGCTTTTGCCTATGTATTGTACACTCCACTCATTTTGCATATGGTACTAATAATGTTTTGATTACGTTTGCATTCCTGCAAGTCCTGATTAGAATTAGCATGCCTATGTAACGCCCCTTGTTACCATAAAAGTACAATTATAATATTAACGTGATACCCAAGTAATCATGTGTATAAAAAGCTTCAAATGCACCGAATAAACAGAACAGTTATTTGGAAAGGTGCTGAGTGTATCTTTTTGTGTCTGTTCCCTATTGCAGTAGTTATAATTAATTTGGAACCGCTAATCAATATGAGGATAGGAGTTGCCTATCTATAAAATTTCAGTATTCATTTCCAGAACACCATCTACATTCGTTGGGTTGGGAAGATGAGAACATCACTATTAGCATTCTATATTGTCTTGCATTTATCCTCTTTAGCCTCAAGTCTAGAGACTCTGAGTATTGATCAAGGCTGTAGTGTAGATGTAGTTTTCCTGGAAATTGTATAAAGGTCATATAGCATATGTAATAAATGCACATTGTAATAAATGAATGTATGTTATTGAGATCTAGAAAGCGACCCCTTTCCATGTCTAAATCAAATAGATGTTCTGAGCTGAAGATATTGGTGACTGACAATTACTGAATGTGGGCCATGGTCAGATTAATAGATGCTGAAGCATTTTTTTGCTGCTAATAGGTAGAAGTCATACTATGACCCTAATTTGTGCAACAGAAGAATAACAGGAAAGTTCTAATTGGCTACTATGAGCAGCTTACAGGTTCCTTTCTTTCATGCTTTTCTAAATCCGTCCAATGTATCGTGTCATAATTTATTAGCCAATAATTAGATTTCAATTGAGAAATCTGTTCAGTGAACTGATTATCCTATCTATAATCTTTCAGTAAGTTTTTTATATAAACAGTACTTCTTATTTCTAATAACCAAGACATCACATATTTACAATATTAAAAACGGAAGCTTGATCCATTCATTGATATAGGTACAGCAAAGGCTCTGTCAGACAATGCACAGACATGCACATTCACATTATATTAAGCTGGCCATAGATGGTTTGAATCTTGGCTGGATCCTGCTGATTCAAACCAACTATGGGCAGGCTGATTGTACCCAAATCGATTGTTGTATGACTTGGGTACAACCGGCCTGTTGGATTTTGAATGAAATTATTGCTGTGCCAGGAGAACACAATAGCTCCACAGGAGGGATCCCCCCATCATCACAGCATCTATGGCGGGCTTTCACAATTCCAATGTGTCAGTGATATGAAAGAAAGATACACATCTGTCCAGTGTAGTGAACCATCACAAATGTGGGCAATTCAAATTAAGCGCATGAAGCAAAAATGCTTAAAGCTGACTTTTTACCCAAAAATCAAAAATAAGCATATTGTACTTAGCACTGCGTATCCATTTATAAAAGCAGCATAATGTTCACCTAAAGCACCACATTTAGGAAAAAATACACTTACATTAAATCAGAACTTCATTCTCTCAATCAACATTGACTATTTTAAACCCTTACACTGCTAGTATTAGTAAATACTGTAGATACTGTAGATAGGAAAGTACATCACATTTACTCGTTTTAAACTTTTTTTTAATTTCTTCAGTTACTTCAGGAGGCATTGAAGGGTTTTTTCAGCTAAGCATATCCTCCTGCCTTCGTGCCTGAGAAAAGGGCATGGATTCCAGGAAGTAAATGCTACAGGAATCATCTACCCTTACTTAAAAAATAATTAAATAGTGTTTTTGGTTTGCGGTGGTCAGATGCAGTGTATTTCTGTTTCAGTAGTACTTCCACCTCCATGGCCACAGGTGTATAGAATCAAGCACCCAGGCATGCAGACTGCTTCTACAAACATTAGTGAAAGAATGGGTCGCTCTCGGGAGCTCAGTGAATTCAAGCGTGGTACCGTGATAGGTTGCCACCTGTGCAATAAGTCCATTCATGAAATTTCCTTGCTACTAAATATTCCATGGTCAACTGTTAGTGGTATTATAACAAAGTAGAAGCAAACAGCAACTCAGCCATGAAGTGGTAGGCCACATAAAATGGCAGAGAGGGGTCTCAGCACATGCTAAAGCGCACAGTGTGCAGAAGTCGCCAACTGTCTGCAGAGTCAATAGCTAAAGACCTCCAAACTTTGTGTGGCCTTCAGATTAGCACAACAACAGTGTGTAGAAAGTTTCATGGAATGGGTTTCCATGGCCGAGTAGCTACATCCAAGCCTTACATCCATAAGTGCAATGCAAAGCGTCAGATGTAGTGGTGGAAAGATGTGTTCTCTGGAGTGATGAATCACACTTCTCTGTCAGGCAGTCTGATGGACGTGTCTGGGTTTGACGGTTGCCAGGAGAATGGTACTTGCCTGACTGCATTGTGCCAAGTGTAAAGTTTGGAGGAAGAGGGATTATGTTGTGGGTTTGTTTTTCAGGGGTTTGGCTTGGCCCCATATTTCCAGTGAAGGGAACTCTGAAGGCGTCAGCATACTGAGACATTTTGGACATTTTCATGCTCCCAACTTTATGGGAACAGTTTGGGGATGGCCCCATCCTATTCCAACATGACTGCGCACCAGTGCACAATGCAAGACATGGATGAAGACATGGATGATCGAGTTTGGGGTGGAGGAACTTGACTTGCCTGTACAGAGTCCTGACCTCAACCCGATAGAACAACTTTTACTTCACAAATGTGCTTCTGGAAGAATGGTCAAACATTCCCATAGACACACTCCTAAACCTTGTGGACAGCCTTCCAAGAAGAGTTGCAGCTCTTATAACTGCAAAGGGTGGGCCAACTCAATATTGAACCCTATGGATTAATACCGGGATGCCATTAAAGTTCATGTGCGTGTAAAGGCAGGCATCTCAATACTTTTGGCAATATAGTAAATATCTTTTGGAAACTTATGATCCGCTGATCCACTCTGGGTGGTGCACTATTCCCTTTGATCCATTCAGACTCATTTGGACAGACAGTTAGTGCTCTGCAGCCTGGGGAACAGACAGGTTGGGGTTTATTTACTAAAGCTGGAGAGTCCAAAATCAGACTCCCTTCTGCATAGAAACCAATCAGCTTCCAGGTTTCATTGGCAAAGCTTCATTGAACAAGCTGAGGTTAGAAGCTGATTGGTTTCTATGCAGAAGGGAGTCTGATTTTGGACTCTCCAGCTTTAGTAAATAAACCCCGTTATGTCTGTTGGAGCTAAAGGTTTGTAAAAGGTGAAAGACTGTATAAGTGGAGTCTGACTAGCATTAGGCTTGGACAAAAATGCTAGGTAGGACCGTGATTGTGTAGTTAGTGCTGGGACATGGCTAGGATATTGTTTTTGCAGTTTTTGAACTTTTTCTTTTTGGAGCAATGTACAGCACCTTTATCTAGCCTGTAAGTAGCACAAATAAATGCAACACTGTTAGTTATTATACTGCTGGACTGGTATCTGTTCCTTAAAAGGTTGCTCACTTCAAGGAGCTTTCTATCCCCTACTTACCCCCACATGTACATTGCAGAATTCTGAGCTGGCAATTGGATACTAGGACACTGAATGCTGTTTTGGTGGGAGAGGTTTATCACACATTCCCCCAAACAATAGCTAGCAGTACAAAACATTTTGTAGGGGGTCTGGCAACAGACAGGTGTAGCAGGAAAATGCAGGTAAATTAAAGTGGAACTATACCCACTGGCTTAACGGTTTCCCAAAACACTTATATTCAAGGCTTACACTCAAATGACAACTGTTACAGTTACTAATGTGCTTATATTAGCTCCTAAAGTGGTTATGAACCTAAAAAAAACAAACATTGTTGCTACCTCTTTAATGTATTAGGGCTGATTCACTTCACATGCAGCCCAGTGCATTTTTTTTCTGCATCAAAAAACGCATGGATAGTATGTTATATGGTTTGCAATGGCATAGTTTATACCAGTGTGGTTAGTTCCAGTGCTTGCCAGTTCAAGAAACAAACATGTCCTTATTTAAGGAGAAGAAAAAAGAGGCGAAAAATGCACTGGAACGCATAAAAGAAGAACCGTAATGTATCCAAAATGCATCAAATATGCGCATGCAGAAACACATCCATAACGCATCCGGACTGCATTTCTGTGGTGTGAACTGGCCCCTAAAATCTGCTTTGTGATGTTGATGTTTCTTATTTTCCTGCCAGGGAGCTATAAAAAAATGGTTGATGGTGCCTGTGCACCTCCTACTTACAGTAAACTGACCACGCTGAGCATGGCTGCAAAATGGTCAGTTTACATCTTGTGCCATCCTGCTGTCTGTACAGGAACACTGTACAAGAGCACAGCGCGCCTGTGTGTTCTGTGGCCAGAACAAAGCTGCGCCCCCGCCCCTCCCTCCTGCCTTGAGTGACGGAAATATTAAAGTTTGGAAAACACATATATTTGTGTATGACAATGTACAACACGCTTCATGTACGTCATTTGATTTAATATTACAATTACTTTTCCTTTGAGTCATGTGACGGACAAAGGTTCACAGTTCAGAATTCCTCTGCTGACACACAGTATACAACATACGTCACAGGGGAATAGAAGCTCCTCCCAGTTGTTTCCCTGCACTCGGACAAGAGAGAAGAATAAACCATGTGGCTGCTATATACCGCCAATTGAAAAAAGGGACCTAGTGGTTTTATTTTTTTTATTTATTTATTTTACCTACATTAGCATCATTAAAATACGTTAATAGAAGGGATAATGTGAATGAAATGTTCTGTGTTTACTATTAGTTTAACTGAACTGTCAAGCCACTTAATATCTGGTGTCATAGCTGATCACATGCGCAACCATGATCACCATGGCAAGTTCAGTTTAAACAGAGGCTAAGATGGCAGCTTCCTTGGCTGTAAAGGATAGGAGGTTAAGTTCCACTTTAAGTACCAGGTTCATCCTAAGCAAAAGACACCTTAAATGAATACTGCATGTCAATTCATTCAGTGGATACATATATAAAAGCTGCTAAAAGTATGTAAACCTTGATTTTTACTGTAAAAATTCGAACGTGGGCCTGACTGCCTCCCAAATCTCCTTACTGCTCTTGTGATGGGTGATCTCTCCCTGAACAAGCAGAAAGCTCAGATATACTTAAAGTAGAAGTTCACTTTCTCAATCAACATTGACTACTTTTAAATTGTATGATGTTTGCATTAGTAAATTGATAGGAAAGTACATACACTGTGCGCACAATTATTAGGCAAGTAAGCATTTTGAGCAAATTATCATTTGTATTCATATTGTCCAACTCCAAGCCATGTAAACGGAATGCTTATTGGATTTAAGCATATCAGGTTATACGTGTTTGTGTAATGAGGGAGGGTGTGGCCTAAGGAGATTGACACCCTATTTCAAGGTGTGCATAATTATTAGGCAGCTTCTTTTCCTCAGGCAACATGGACCAAAAAAGAGATTTAATGGACCCTGAAAAGTCAAGAATTATAAAAAAAAAAAAAAATCTTTCAGAAGGATGCAACACTCTTGAATTTGCTAAGATATTGGGGCATGATCACAGAACCATCAAACGTTTTGTTGCAAATAGTCATCAAGGTTGCAAAAAACGTGTTGAGAAGAAAAGACAAAAATGAACTGCCAAAGATTTGAGAAGAATCAAATGTGAAGCTACAAGGAACCCATTATCTTCCACTCTGTCATATTCCAGAACTGCAACCTACCTGGAGTGCCCAGAAGTATAAGGTGCTCAGTGCTCAGAGACATGCCCAAGTTACGGGAGGCTGAAACCCAACCACCACTGAACAAATCACATAAGTTCAAACGTCAAGACTGGGCCAAGAAATATCTGAAGACAGATTTTTCAAAGGTTTTAAGGACTGATGAGATGGATGAGAGTGACGGACCAAATGGATGGGACTGTGGCTCGATCAGTAACGGCACAGAGCTCCACTTCGACACCAGCAAGGTGGAGGTGGGGTACTGGTATAGGCTGGTATCATTAAAGATGAGCTAGTTGTACCTTTTCGGGTTGCAGATGGACTCAAAATCAACTCCCAAACCTACTGCAGTTCTTAGAAGTCACTTTCCTTAAGCAGTGGTACAGAAAAAAGTCTGCATCATTCAAGAAGACCATGATATTTATGCAGGACAATGCTCTAGCGCATGCATCGAAGCACTCCACTGCGTGGCTAGCCAGTAAAGGCCTTAAAGATGAAAGAGTAATGACATGGCCCCCTTCCTCACCTGACCTAAATCCTATTGAGAATTTGTGGGCCCTTCTTAAACGAGAAATTTATGAAGGAAAACAGTACACCTCTCTAAATAGTGTCTGGGAAGCTGTGGTTGCTGCTGCACAAAGAGTTGATCGTTAACAGATCAAGAAACTGACAGACTCCATGAATGGAAGGCTTATGACTGTTACTGAAAAGAAGGGTGCTATATTGGTCACTGATTTTTTTTTTTTTTAAAAGTCAGCAATGTCTTTGTAAATTTTGAGTTGTTTGTTTATTATTCTCACTTTAACAGATGAAAATAAACAAGTAAGATGGGAAAATTTTAGTTTTTTTCATTTAGCTACATAATAATTCTGAACACTAATACCGTGTTTCCCCGAAAATAAGACACTGTCTTATATATTTTTTTGGCTCAAAAAAAAAACCACTAGGTCTTATTTTCGGGGTAGGTCTTATTTTTTTAATGTACAGGAGTGGACAGGGGGTTCAGAGATGAGCTGCAGGCAGTTGGGGATGAGGGTAACTACAGAGAGTTCCGGCTGATGACAGATGACAGTTGTGAGCTGCAGTCAGGTGTTGCAGAGGGGAATTGACAGGTGAGTTTCAAACAAGGTGCAGAGATGAACCACAGACAGGGTGCAGGGGTGAGTTGCAGACAGGGGAGGCAGAAGTGAGCTTCGGGTCCTATCTTCCCACACAGTGCACCAAGCACACTCACCACTCCGCATCTTCCTCACTGACCAGTGATCACCCCCGGGGCATTGGCTTCCATGCATTAGGCTGCAGAATGAGATGCCGCGCTCCACCCCTAAACACACTGCACCCTCAGATATCTGTTCCTTCCATATCACACAGTGAGTACAGAGGTAGGGGGGGGGTCCTGTGGGAGCAGATGGTGCTGTTACTTACAAGAGGGATTGTCACTTGGAAACACAAAAGCCGCGCTTCTCTGTTTATAGGAGACAATAGATATTGGTGTACACAGGGCCAGTGCCAGAGGTGGTGGAAC